TCAATGGATTACTGGCCATGTTGGAGACAAAGAATAACTGGAGTACTGGAGAGTGAGTGAGAAAGAGAGGAGGTGGTAGCTGGAGAGTGGGATACTTGGCGCTGAGATTATGGAAGAGATGCAACTGTTGGAAATGACAGCACCTAGGGTAGAACCATGTGAGTAGACAGTGGTAGGTAGGAGAACAACAACACAGGAGAAAAGGTCAAGGAACTGAGAGGCTAAGGTAGAAGTAAAACCATCTATATGGGTATCGATTTCACCAATAATTATGACAGAGTCATGTTAGAGAGAGGGCCCATGGATCACAGGTTAAAATCTTTAATAATTGAAGATAAGTGGCACAGGGAGAAGTAGATGATTGAAGTCAGGAGGGGTCGTCCATGTTCTGAAACATGAATGTTAAAGTTGGGGGCATTTAGAGAGGAGAGAGGGAGAACGGTCTGGAAGCATCTCTGGGGAAGAGGCAGCCTACATCCACCACTCCAGATCGAGTCATTCGAGATATATGAGAGAAAAATGAACTATGATGTAAAAAGGCTGAAGGAAAGACAACGTTTCGGGGGAGAGCTGTGTTCTGGTTACAGCAAGAAGTTGACAGGAACAACCAAGCAAGAGGTTGAGAATAAAGGGTATTTAGCTAATGACCAATGGGTAGTCTTCAGAAGAGGAGCAGGGGATGGGTCCTGGTAGCTGAGTTGTGTAGAGCTGAGTCCGAGTGATGAGAAAGGACCGAGGAGTTTGTGTTGAAGGGTGAGATGGGAGTGGTTCTGTTGGTCTACGAGGCCGATTACGGTGATGGAGTGTTGACTGGAGAGGGGGCCGTTGTAAGGGTCTCTCCAGGAGAACACAGATCTCTGCAGATCTTCCACTCTTCTGTGATAGAGGTGTGGATGAAACAGGTAGGGAAACATGTGGACCACTGCCCTGTGTCAACTCTGTCTGGGGAAACATGGACACCGGGTAGGGGCAACATTAGCTGGAGCCTACAGAGCCCTGGGACTCCTCTTCTCCAGTGGTAGGGGCAGGGTTTAAGAGCTGGAATAATACTGGTAGGGTTCAGGAAATCCATCCCTTCCATCCTCAACCCAGGAGTGTAACTTGGGGACTTCTTCTTGGAAAAAAAATTAAATACTCAATAAGAAGCTTAGAATTGTGTCTCTCCTTTGTTTCAGTCATTCCTCTTCCAGGAAATTACGGTAAAGACATACTCAACGATGTGCGCAAAGATACACTATAAAATGCACACCATGATTTTATTAATATACCAAATGAAAAATAAACAATAAGGGACTCATCCAATAAATTATGAACATCTGTACTTTGAAATAACATAAAGATCATTAAGAATTACATTTATGGGGGTTTAGGCGAGGGACATTACCGGGAAGTTACAGGCGGGAGGACTGTTCCCCGTCCCGGCACCTGACAGGTCACCAACATGTCGGACAAAAGTGAACTAAAGGCAGAGTTGGAACGTAAGAAACAGCGGTTGGCCCAAATCAGAGAGGAAAAGAAGAGAAAAGAAGAAGAAAGGAAAAAAAAAGAAACTGATCAGAAGAAGGAAGCTGTTGCTCCTGTACAAGAAGAATCAGATCTTGAAAAAAAAAGAAGAGAAGCCGAAGCACTGCTTCAAAGCATGGGTCTAACTCCAGAATCCCCCACTGTCCCTCCTCCTATGTCTCCATCCTCCAAATCTGTGAGCACTCCAAGTGAAGCTGGAAGCCAAGACTCTGGAGATGGCACCGTGGGATCTAGACGAGGACCTATTAAACTTGGAATGGCTAAAATTACACAAGTTGATTTTCCTCCTCGAGAAATTGTCACATATACAAAGGAAACTCAGACTCCAGTTATGGCTCAACCAAAAGAAGATGAAGAGGAAGAGGATGACGTAGTGGCTCCTAAACCACCTACTGAACCTGAAGAAGAGAAAACTTTAAAGAAAGATGAGGAAAATGATAGTAAAGCTCCTCCTCATGAGCTGACTGAGGAAGAAAAGCAGCAAATCTTGCACTCTGAGGAATTTTTAAGTTTCTTTGATCATTCTACAAGAATTGTAGAAAGAGCTCTTTCTGAGCAGATTAACATCTTCTTTGACTACAGTGGGAGAGATTTGGAAGACAAAGAAGGAGAGATTCAAGCAGGTGCTAAACTATCATTAAATCGACAATTTTTTGACGAACGTTGGTCAAAGCATCGGGTTGTTAGTTGTTTGGATTGGTCATCTCAGTATCCAGAGTTACTCGTGGCTTCCTATAACAACAATGAAGATGCTCCTCATGAGCCTGATGGTGTGGCCCTTGTATGGAACATGAAATACAAAAAAACTACCCCAGAGTATGTGTTTCACTGCCAGTCAGCTGTGATGTCTGCTACGTTTGCAAAATTTCATCCAAATTCAAAACAAAAACCACATGATCATATCACTAGATGCAGAAAAAGCTTTTGATAAAATCCAGCACCCCTTCTGATAAAACCCTTGACATCTAGGCATACGGGAACATACCTCAAATAGTAAAAGCCATCTACGAGAAACCCACAGCCAGCATACTCCTAATGG